TGTCAGCAAAGAAAAATGGACACAAAGCTATACACTTGTCCCTCCACACTTGCTGGGATTAGGGGCACAGGACCCCCATGAATGTGGAATAATAATAATAATTTTTATTTCTAGCCTGCCCCTCTGCCCCTTGGCAATCGGGGTGGGTTACAATATAATTAAAACACAAAGCAGTTAAAACATCTTACATCAACAAATAACAAAAACACTATGTTTTTACTTAAGAGAACATCTCTCTAGGGCTCTCTAGGTCCTCCAGTGCAACTCTGTGGTCAACATCTGTCAGACATTAACCCTAGAATTGCGCTGGAGGAGCTACAAATGCCTAGTGGAGTGTTCTCTCTAGGAATCTCTGGGTCCTTCAGTGCGATTTTTGGTTAAAGTTGACCATAGAGTTGTGCTGGAGGATCTAGATATTCCTAGTGAGAACATATTAATAAAATCTGTGAATAATCAAATCTGCAAAACTCAAAGCCACAAATATGGAGGGATGAGTGTATGTACATTTGAGACGTATGCAAAACTGCATTTGAACATAAGGCAGCAACATGCTTTAGTCATTGGAGAAAATGTGTAAAAAGCAAGCACTAAGAAAAAAGGAAACATGAATAAAAAAATCCATGTAAGAATTGGAGGTATGTGGGGCATGTCTAGAAACATAGCATGGAACCAAGATGGAATGAGAATGCTGGTTGGATTCTGAGAAATGTAATGGAAATGAATTTGATGAACATTAAATATAGGGAATCCTGCTTCATGGTAGATTTTCAAGTAGGTATGATCAGTGATATCCCTGCCAGTCTAGGATCTTCTTGATTTTACATTCAAGATGAAGGTGAATGGAATGGAATTCCTAGCCTGCGTTGTGAAAGGACTCGCTTGCCAATAGTTTTGTTGACAATTGATCCTTCTGCTTGCAGCTGGTTTCAGAATTTAAAATGCTAGAAATGTCAATGGTTGAGATGGATGGGCAGAAGCAATATGGTTAAGGTAATAAATAATAAAAATTAAAGAGTTATATTTAAACAGTTTTTTAAAAAATGTTTTTTTAAAATATGGATTTTAGTTTATACGTGACATAATGCATAGGGCAGAGGATATCATGGATTTGTCTCTAAACATGGATTTGGTTCTGTCACTGAATGTGCCTGAATAATGCTTTTTTTTCTGTGTAAATTAATTAGGGGTTGAAAAGAGAGCTCCTGATGAAAACACTGCTGGGGTTCATTGTGGGAGCAATTCTACAGTCTAGAGAAGTACATATTCTTTGGGGGGAAATAGAATTGGGGTTGAAACACTGACTATTAGTCAGCTGGAGATAGCAGCTGGCCTGCTATGTATTAAACCCAGGAGTATCCAGCAGGTGTGGGTTATCTTACAATGGTTGTTAAAATTGGGCATTTTCAGTCATGTTAATACAATACTATTTCATTGTGTGTGTGTTGAAATTACCTTTGAAGGAAGTTCCAGCTGTAGGCTTTGGACACAAATTTTTGAAAGCAGTCATTTCTGGAGCAAAAGTGTCTGGAATATTTTATTCTAATTTTGAGGGTTCATGAGAGAAATGGGATACAAATGGACATGACAAATACAGTTTTAGTTTTTAGGTTCAAACATAGATTAAAACTCAGCATTGTATTGTATGAGAACAAACCATGGCTAGCTCATTTTTTGGAAGCCAAGTAAAAAGTAGTGCATACTGAGTTTACAAAATACTTCATAAATTATCCCAGAAGCTCTGTGAGCAGAAATTTAAGGTCAGTATAGTGTAATGGTTTGAGTATGAAAGTGAAATACATTCCCTCTGAGTGTGGTGGAGTCTCCTTCTTTGGAGGTCTTTAAACAGAGGCTGGATGGCCATCTGTTGGGGATGCTTTGATTTTGAGTTCCTGCATGGCAGGGGTTGGACTGGATGGCCCTTGAGGTATCTCTGGAGACCAAGGTTCGAATCCCCACTTGTCTGTGGAAACCCACTGAGTGACCTTGGCAAGTCACATTCTCTCAGCCTCAGAGGATGGCAGTGGCAAACCCCCTCTGATGAGAATAAATTAGAATAAAATGACCTTAGGGTTGCAATAAGTTGGAAATGACTTGAAGTCACACAATAGTAACAACACACTACATAATTATAGTGCTATGATCCCACTTTTAACTGCTATGGCAACATCCTATGGAATCCTAGGATTTGCAGTTGTGGGGGGCATTTAAAATCCTCAACCAGGGAGCTCCTGTAGGGCCTCACCAAACCCCAGGATCTCACAGGATATAGTTATGGCAGTTAAAGTGGAATCATAACATTATAACTATGTCGTATGAAAGAGTGAGTGCTCTGACTGAAATCATCAAGTAATTTTCAAAGGCTGCTGTGATATAGCTTACTACAGCAATGTCATCTGAGCTGGACATAGACAACTGTGGCAACTCTGTCTCTTTTCCAAAACCATCTGCAGTTGGTATGCCATCATCTGAGATGATGGCAAGTATATTGTGCCACAAATGCCAGCTGGGCATTGAATGTCAGGATTGCAAGTAACTTGGACTTACCAGAGTGGGAGTGAAAAAACCCTAAAAATTCTTTTTATGGATGCTACATAGAATCATTTGAACAGGAGCTTGTTTCCTTCATTTATTCTCTGAGTTTGGCATAGAAAGACAGCTAAACTGGACAGGTTTCTCCAGCTGTGTATAAGGAGTGACAGATTTCGTGTCATATAAAAAGCAATTTTATGCTGCTTCTGGAAATACTCTTTTTAGCCAGGGTTCTGTTTTGGGAGTTATTTTTATCTGTGACATGGGACTTAAAAGATTTCTCTATAGTGTGTTTTTGCAGCATTCTCCCAC